GGCTATTTCCGAATTGCAATAGCCAATAGTAAACTAGCTTTGTACCCGCCCTCTGCTCGATGGACCTGATGGGGAACTGCAGCAGAGGGCTACTTTATCTTACGAACATGCTACAGACCCGCCGAACATCGTACGGTTGCTCGGCGGGTTTTCAAACATGTAAGTTTAAAGTCGTGCGACCGTACAGTAGCGGAGGTCGCACGTCTTCCACACACCTTACCACAATCGTACGATCGCGGGATTTCCCGCCATTATCGCAAGGTGTGCGGGGACCTTTAGACGACATGCAATTGTCAAATTGGGTGAGTTTGGGGCTTACATGCTGTCTATACTGATAGCCATTTACTATCATTTGAGGAGTTACGTAGCAAATATAACCTTCCAGTTAGGGATTTCTACAAATACCTCCGCATACGACATTATTTGCAATCAATAAGTGTTAGAGGGGGAACGCTCCTTAAGAGAGGCCTACATTTTTTTTGCACTAGTTCTTCACGCAAGAAGGGAATCTCCTTCTTTTATAATCTTCTCAGTGAGCCCTTATCTCAGGATAAATTACCGTCTATGCAGTGGTGGGAAACTGAATTAAACTTTTCAATTTCCCCGGAACAATGGTACAAGGAGATCTCATGGCCTTTGAAATCATCGAGATGTTTGAGTCACTGGGAATCCCTACAGAAAATTTTACACAAGTGGTACTTTACACCACAGAAACTCGCTAGAATGTATCCCTCATCCTCACCGCTTTGTTGGCGAAATTGTGGAATGGTTGGCTCCTTGCTACATATCTGGTGGTCTTGTGTCTCCATCAGATCCTTTTGGGATTCGGTCTTCTCCTTTATTTCCACAGTTACTCACTTTCCTTGTAATGGGTCCCCACAATTTGCCTTATTGGGGATTGGACTAAATGATTGGCCTTTTGATTCTAGAACTGTAGTCTCACATGTCCTTATAGCTGCTCGCCTGGCAATAGCGCGGGCTTGGAAACAATCGGAACCTCCGTCACTCAGCGTAGTTGTACAAATATTAAACACGCATGTCCATTTTGAATTTTTGTTTGCAAAAGCTAATATGAAACTCCGCAATTTCAACTTACAATGGGCCTGCTGGTTGACAGACAACAGATGCCTGACTCATGTATTATGAACCCAACTAATATTACTAACAGTGTTAAAACACAAAAACAAAAAACAAAAAACGCCCCCTCCCCGGTCCGTTCCGCCAGTCAGCGCCAGGGGGGCGGGTACAGCTGGCTCTGCCTCTAGATAGGCGGAGCCAGCTGTCGCTCACGCAGCTGGGCGGATCCCGTCATCTAAGGCCCCGTTCACATGTAGCGAATTGTCGCGCGATTTTTTCCGCCGCGATGTCGCGCATTTTTGCCGCGCCATATCGCGAGAAGTCGCCGGGCCAATGCTATTCAATGGAGCTGTCTTAACTCCGCGTCGCAAGTCGCTTCTACCGGACCCTTTTTTTCGGCGGATCTTGCGCGATTTCGCTTTTTTTCTATGGGGCCCGACGGGGAAGGTCGCGCTACCGTCGCTGGATCGTCGCCCCGAAAGTCGCGCTATCCCGGCCGCTGACAAGGTATGTCGCTACATGTGAACGGGGTCTAAGTCGGGATCCGCTCCGGCTGCGGCGTCTCGGTATACCGCCAGCTGTAGCTCCCTATGTACTGAGCCTAGGGTGACGGGAGGACGCTAGTTTGTTCACACCTAGGCGTACTGCACATGCGAGTCCGTCGTGCGTTTTTTGCGGTAAATAAAAGTCGCGCGACCGTCGCGCGTTTTTCCCAAGGCCACTTGGCTGTGTCCCGATGGAAACGCGCAAACAAAACGGCCCAAAGTAGTACCCGCGCCTTTTGTCTGACTCGGGTATCATAAACC